CGGTAGCCGCGATGTGCACCTGCTTTCCGACGACTTCGGGCTTCTTCGTGCTCGCTGACGCAGGTATAATGGGAAAATATGAAGGAATGAAACTTTATACCTTTTTTTTGCGCAAGATCGCTCTGGATCATCTGGATATTAACACCTATGAGACAGCATCAGCCGTATCGCCGGACCGGTGCTCGGATTCCCGGATGTGTTCGAGGATCGATAGAACTTTGAGTGCTTTTATCATGAAATTTTTGCATTCTCTTAGCTTTGTTTGAAAGTTGGAATGTCTGAGAATCGACGCGAAATGTATGCGTCAGACGTAGAACCCATGGAAATTTGCTTCAGCCCTAGGCGACTGCATAATCGCCGCAACTTTTAGCGAGAAAGCTCGTGAGAAAGTTGAAAAATGTTAACTACCATCCCTTTCAATCTCTTCAATTGACTTTTTTTTTTAAAGTGTAAGCCGCCTATACTTTGTTTCACCATAACTTGGAAAAGGGCAACTGCCACAGCCCTTCAACCCAATCGGAGAGACGGAGTGAAGATGTGTGACAAATCTGTGCAGATGAGCACTGTGATATGTTGTCATGTGCCTCTCTCCAACGTACCTACTGACTGACCGACAGTAGCCTTCGCTGCTTGCCAAATTGTGATGGAACGGATTACAGTAACTACTACTTTAATTCCTCAAGGCCTTCATACTTTGGACATTTGTTCGACAAGAATGTTATGTCAGCCATCACTGTGAACTTGGCTCAGCGCCTATTGGACTCGAATGCTGCATTAGCGTTCGACGTGAAGTGTGCTCTATACCGTGTGCTCTATACAGAAAAAAAAATGGTGACAGATGTGTTGCTTGATAGGGTTTTGCAAACGGTCTAATCTGTCATACATATAGAAAGTGTCCTGCAATGTAACAATGGATCCATACTATTAAACTAGATGCTCAAAGGTGTGTTTGTTTTTGCACTCAACAATTTGCAGCAATAATTATTTGTTACAAGTGTAATATTTATTTTCGGTAGCTGGGCCCGTTTTGTGCTCATTAATGTCCGTGTGCTTTGATGTTATCATGTGTGTAGCTTTAGGTATCTTCTCTGCAATGCCTAAAGAGGCCCTTAGAGGAAACAAATTAATAAGCAACATTTCCACGTCACTGGAGTTGGTTTTCGGATGCGCCACATCATAGGCGTAGACTACGGGGGGGGGGGGGGCATCGGGTCTCACCAGAGGGGTCGTAGCCCCCCCTACCCCCCCCCCCCCCCCCCGGTTCATAATTTTTACCCAGACGCTGCTTACGTGGATTAGTGCTTTAAAAGCACAGGGGCCTGGGTTCTACCCCCTACAACTTCGCAGCTCGCACAAGCGTTTTGTTTTTCAGTTTTGTGCTCGCTAGCGCATGCGCCGTGGTACCGGCGAAGAACACACGGCTACGCTTGCACGGTGGTTGACATTGACACAAAGCGACGGACACATGGCGATATACATACGTTGTAAAATGTGCTCCCTAAATTAAACTATTGATAATTGCCGGTGTAAGAACAATTGCACGGAAAAAACACACCGCCCCCCCCCCCCCCCCGGAGAACTTCTTAGCCTGCCCTCCCCCCCCCCCCTCCAGGGAAAATGGAAAGTCTACGCCGCTGCGCCACATGTTGGACAAGTGGGACAAGTGCAGCCCAATGCAACGATCTGCCAGTCTGGTATGTCCCATCAATTCATGTTGAGGGGTCAGAGATGCGGGTGTCCTCAAAATGTCTAGCACGTGCGGTGAACATATTTCTTTGTGTAGAGACTCTGAAGGCGTAAAGGCGAGCGTAAATATGTTTATCTGATTGGTGTATCAAATATGCTTATTTTTACTTAATTGCACAATTATTGATTCTTAGAAAATGGTTCCAAGACGAGTTCTTTCTGCGACAGTCTCGTGTCAGGCATTCAGTCGTAGTACCCGTGCTCCTTGTTGTCGGACGACGCTCCTGGGACGTCGGTGTTCAGTTTAGTCGAGTGGCAACTTTGACCGACAGATTCCGTCTTGTAATCATACGTCATGTGCGGTCACTGACATTTGAGGCACTGATGCTGCAGAGCTGGCTTCTAGTCCGCAAATTTTCCTGGCAGTTCTGTGCGTCAATGCAGCAAGCTCGGGCATGTAGTGCTTACGTGGCTGTGCCTTTTGCTGTAGTGTTGACTTGATGCCTGGCAACAGGCAACAGCGTTTGTTTGCTATCCATGCCATTTCACATCCATTTCGTAATGGCGATTTTTTCTGCATCCCGCGACCACTGCAACTTGTGTAAGTCCTGTGTGGCAAAGTGAAGTCGGGCGATGCTTGGTATTCACTTTTGAGAACAACCAACCATTCCATTTCTTCAAGTCACTCAGCGGCATTTTCCGTCAAATTGGAAATTGTGTGCTTCATTGCGTGGACACAGATAGTTGGTCTCAGCAAATTATTAGGTATTGTCCTTGGACGATAACCAAGACCAAATTAACTGTCCTTGCATTGCCGCTCACCTGCTTTGTCGTGCTTACGTCCCGTCGGGGTGATGGGGATCAAGAGCTTCGGGGTAATGTTAGCACCAGGGGCAAAGGCAGCCGAAGTTAATCCTCAATGTCCCGCGGACGCTCCTCGAGACGTGGTCGAAGGTCGTTGGGCACAAACTCATGCAGGCCTATTCATTGATACGGGCAGCTCCAGTAGATATGGTCGGCCTCATGCAGTGGTAGCAGAGTGGTTTTCGATCGACCATTCGCAGCACCTCCGCTTTCCTCGGTGTACTTTCTCCAGCGAGAACTTACACTGGTTCTTTCCGATGTCGGGAATGCTTCGGCGTTGGTGGGTTTCGTTGAATTGGCGTTGAATACAAACGGGTAGCCGGTGGTGGACGTCGTGACTTTCTGGCATAAGTCGTCCTCGGTTCGTCAGATGCCGCGTTGCTCGAAGAAGTGTTCAGTTGAAATGCCTGTCGAACGTGTTCCGAAATAATCTCGGCAATCAAAATAAAAGCTGGGCAACTGATGGCAGAAAGTAGCTTCCTGATCTCCCCCGGACAACAATTCGGATAATGTTGCGGATGCCTGGGAGTCTGGCGTCAGAGTTGCAGCTGGATCACTCGAGCGTCGAGACGCTGGGAATCGTTGATAGTGACAGGCTCGGGCCTGCAATGTACATTTACTGTTGGAAGCCTTGGTGATATGAACTTGTCGACTGTTGTCGTGGGGTTGCGGACAAGGCTGCGGAAGGTGCTGTCCCTCATATGAGGGGCATGGGATTCTTAGCCTCTCGTCTTCTGTAGCACCAGGGTCGGCGTGGGTGCTTGATCAGGTGCAAAACATCCTGCACGAAGGCAGCGACGCCCTTGTTGGGGCCATGTCCTGGACAGAATCAGAAATTCGGCTCGCTCTCGTCAATGTTGGCTGATGAACGTGCACTTCAGCTAGGTCTTGCAAACTTCCCATGATGTTGAGGAGGATACATGATTATCAAACCGGTGCCTGACAGATACTTTCACGAGAAGTATGGGTTCTGCAGGAGCTGGTTGTCTCTCCACCCACTGTGGCGGGCAACACTGTCATATTGTTCAATCCAGCCCTCGACGTCTAAGCTAAGCCTCCTCAGCACACACAAATGCTGGCGTGATTGTGAGCGCCGCCAAGCGGAGGCTTTCGCATGTTACAATCTTGCGTTTCGGAGTGGCGGAGGACTGGCCAGGTGCCCGACAACCCTCGTGACGTATTCATTTTGGCCCTCTTAGTCCGCGGTGAGCTTCGCCATTATTTATCATCTTAAAGAGGAGGAGGATTGCGACTACCAAGGGAACTCGGAAGATGAAAGTGAGGACGAGTCGTCAATCTTGCACATAGTAACGAAAAGGTGTTTCGGTCTAGAACCGCACAAACTATCCGACAGACCGACCGTCCGCCCGACAAAATCTCAAAGGGGTCGGGGTCGCCAAGAAATGACTTGCGTTTGATAATAATTGGCCAACTTGGAGGTATGCGCTATTTAAGTGTTTTATTAACAGCCTGCTCCCTTACCAGTTTGCTTAGCTTTTGGTGCGGTTCGCTGAGCTTTTCTGCTCTTATAAAAAAATAAATACTCGACACAACCCCTGGTAGCAACCGAATATTCTTGGTAAGAAGACCCAGACACCTGAACACAGTGGGTCAGCTTTCATAGTTCAGATTGCGAAAATGAACACGGTACACACAGTCAGTATTCACCGCCATCCGAGAGACGACGGACGAGCGAGACGGATCCAGACGCTTCCGAATTTCTCATCGTTCGGAAACCCATGGGTCGACGTCTCGCTGTTCAGTTCACTGTTACCGCAGGGCTCTGCCGCGCTGTAGAGCGGCATTTTGCACGCAGTTAGGATGCATAATTACGGAAACAACTCGGTGGTTCCAAAATAATCGCGACCGAGCGAAGCAACGCGATTGCATCATGGCGTTCACGGCTACAGTATCTATATGATTATGGTGTCCTGCCGGTGGTGGCGCCACTGCGTTAGGAACAATTAACCACCGAATTAACAGGTGCAAACGGGAAATCGCTTTGTTCGCTTTTAAAATCCCTTTTCTTGGGTTTATGAACAAGAGAGAGATGTTGCTCAGGTGGTGATGTGACGTGCCATTTACCCAAGTAATAAAATTAGGCCACAAATATGTTTCCGAACCACTTTAAACCGATTAAAATTTATGCTGTTCGCTGTAGAAGGTGGAAGCTTCTATCGATAGTGAGAGGTTTTAGGAATAGCACAACTGCAAACAGAAGTAATATTGCATGCAGGCATGTGTGTATATGGAAGATTACAATTTCTACCCGTTCTCAATCCAGAGAAACAAATATTAGAAAGAGATGAACGGTGTTTGTATTCCCGTTTCAAATAGTTCTATAAAAATAATTTGTATAACTTTATGATGAAAATTTGGGAATACAAAATAATCTGTTCACGAAAGCTTTGTGACTTTGTGTATGCCTTCTTTGATCAAACAAGCCTTACCTTTCATCTCCAGTCGGTACGCCTTGACAAAGTCGAAGACAGGATTACTGAAAGTAGTTGCTGCGTTATTGCACGCTCTATATATATATGCTCAAAAAGGCGCACCTACCTTGTTAGCAAATAAACTACATCACTATTATTAAAGAAACTTTGATTATTTGCCCATTCCCTGAACAGTGCAAGCGTGAGGTGAGCATCGAGAGATCTTCCCCTGCTTTCCGTTGTGTTTTTAAATCTCTCGAATTTCGATTCCACTTCAGTCTATTAATAAAAAAAAATTAGAATCAGTTATAATATTGAATATAATTATAATTCGTAGAAAAACTAAAATTTATTTTACAATCAGAAGTAACAACAGTAAAACAGTAAAAGAAATTGAGATAAAGACGTTCCTTTAACTACCAACAGAGAAGTTCCAAGAAGCTAGGATTTTATTGTGCCTGATATAAACGTTTCAGACAGAATTAAAATTAGTTTGTCAAAGAGCGATCTAAAAACTTTAAAAAATCCTTCCTCTTGTTTTGTAGTCTGGTTTGTCACAACCAATATGTGTAACTGCGTACTTTTAACCGAAAAGTGCGACCTCAGGCAGCAGTCGTTGTTCATCTGCTTTCATGCCGTCTCCTTCATCTGTCCACGAATTGTCAATTTAAAATATTGTTTTTTGAGCAAACAGTTGTGATAAAACGCTCTCTTCCTTTGGACATACCTGTGCTATTTTCCGTTTATCTAGTACTCTCAGAAACAATCACTTTAGGGCTTTTTGCACTTATCCATGCATCTTATAACATACCCCGCTTCTTTCCACTGCCTATATATCGTGTTGTACAGGCAGTTGTTTGAAACTGACAGCTCCTCTTAAATGTAGAGGGTGCTTCATGGCTGGCTTGTTGAGACGAAATGCCTCCTTTTTCTAAAAACTCGCAATAAATAGAGTGATATGATTGCCTTTAGAAATTTGGTAGCACGCATTGGAGCAGCCAAAGGTCCAGTGTGGGGCAGCAAAAAGTACTCTTGAAGCACAGGAACACACTTATTTTTATTCATATAGCAATAAAGGATGTATGTTAAGATTCGTCTGTTGGCCTATCCAACTAAATATATGCCTTCCAACTTCTGCGCAAGTTTCGTTAGCATCAACTGCACTGCAGGTTTGATTCCCTCGAACACTAAATTAGGCGTTTAGCTGCACGTACAAACATTATGAATTGCAACAATATGCTGATTGATAAAGTAGAGTATGAACTGATGTGAATGCTTATTTTAGGTAAAAAATGAAGTGTAATCCAAAAAATTATATTCCACGGAAATGATGTTAAACTAATCTTGATCACATAAATTGATGTTTCATTTAATGTCTAATTATTGTAGTAAAACTGAAATTCCTAACCCAATCTGCACATTAACAAAATATTTTGTCATATATAGTTATGAACATAAATTACATTTTGAATGTAGAACACATGATGTCAATAATCGGCGTATGGACGATAATTGTGCCTTCTTAGAAGAATCTATCCAAACTCTTCAAGGTTATTCCCAAGTTTCCTTTCACTCCTTGATAAAAATTAGTTTTAATTTGTTTTATTAACTGTACCTCGAACACCTAATATATATAACGGTGAGGGCAAAACAAGAGAGTTCAAATAAAATAAATCATATAGAGAAGTTTCCATACATTTTCTCGCTAATATCCTTGCCAAATCTTGAATTAAGAAAAAGAACATATCGTCAGAATATCGCAGTCTATCATAAATAATCGTAGGGGTTTTATTAAAACATTTTTACTGCAACCACGGCTGCTACAAAGCACTCAACAAGTTCTATATTTAAAGCGCAGCTCTTAAGCGCCCGTTTACGGCTTGAGCGGCGTCGCCGTCCGTGTCGGCGTAACCGCGTGGTTCATAATGGGACATTTCCCAAGATGCAACGCGCGGGGAGGAGAAGGAGGAGGGGGAGGGGCGGGTAGGAGAGGGAGAAGAGGAGAAGGGGAAAGAGGAGGAGGGAGGAGAGGAGGAGCTTGAATTATGAGGGGAGGAGGAGGATGAGGAGGAGAAAGAGGAGCGAGGAGAAGAGGAGGAGTAGGAGGGAAGATGAGGAGATGAGGAGGAGGGAGGAGGGGCATACCCTCCCTTCAGCACCCTTTAATCCTCCTCCTCAGGAGCTGCGCTCTAATTCGGCATTGCAGGGTGTTGTAAACGTCTCATTTTTTAATATATCTGACATCCGTGGTTTCACGCTCAGTGTGCCATATACTTGTTAGCGATTATAACAGTAATTGCATAATAACAATATCTGAACAAAACTTCCAATACCGACTGGCACATTCAAATAAACTCTCAGGATTTTGTTTGGTAAAAGTTCGTACTCATGTTTCTAATTTTTTTTGAACCAATTTGGATGCAACTTGCATTGCGAAATACGTTTATACTTACAGTGAGATTCACAACTTTTATTAAGACGAGCTTGACGTTGGAGCACCTCAAGTCCGTGAAATATAGGTTTACCTGGAGTAAAGATTGAGATATTTAATATATATCTGTAGACAATTAGTTCGGGTGAGTGACGGTGAATGGTCGTCGATCAAAAACTTCACTTAAAGGTGACACATGAGAGTGATGTACTTGTTTATTGTTTGAAACGATTGAAACCGATGGCTGGACATTGCCCTCAGAATTCGAAACTCGGCAATGCAGTATTTGTAAAATAAAAAAAAAAAACAATTTCCAAATGTGGAATCTGAAGTTCCCACGCGATCCGCGCTAGTGGAATGACGTCAAATTTCGGGGGCTCCTGAGAGTCGAGTTTTTTTCGTGCCTCCGCTCTGAAACGTGTCTCCGCGACGCGAAGCGAGGAGAGAAGGGCGCCGGCGTCGCGGGAACTACCGTACCGGAAAACCGGTTTCCTGCGTGAGTGCCGTGCTGCCTATTCCTTCAAGCAGACGACGGTATCCCGGCGGTGTCAACCGAAACTACAATACTATAGATAGGATTCGGCTAAAAGCAATTCAGTGTCAGGGGTGCAGTCCACCACAACTAAACGGGCTCGGACTCGTGAGTCGTGAAGGTCAACAATTAATGTCGTTAAAAGTATGCAACTCCTGGTATTTGTCTGAGTATCGTATTCGCAAGTTCCAATAATAGAGCGCAGTCTTTCAAGGAAGTTTCTCACATTTGTTTAATCCTCTTGTCGCGCCGAGAACAACTTTATAGTGTCTCAGAAACTGTATGCCTGAGCCAGGGTGTAAATCATCTGGAACGTGGTCGACCCAAATTAAGCTATTAAAAACTCTTCTTGTCGATATCGGCGGTTATCTTTGCGACACCCAAGGAAGCTTGGAACAATATCTAGAAGAGCTGTCACTCCTCCTCCTTGAAGTCCGACGTCCCACGACCATGGAGGCGGTGAGCTGTGGTGTCACCCATACTTAGGTCGGCGCAGCTGCTGCTGCTGTTCCTCAGTGGTCCTAGGTCCTTGTCGCCAACGTTGTAACCTTGTCAGAAGCACAAACAATTTATTTAAGATAAAGCTGCTTTCAACGATGTCCGGCCGTCAGGATATTCGTCGAGCCAACGCTCAAGCCCAAGAGACGAGAGTCTGTTCGCAGGCCGATGATCCCCAAGGTGATGATCTCAGCTATTTCGTACAGTTTGAATATATAATCAAACGCATCGAAACAGAAATATTAATCATTTGTTCACCGATTACAGTTATTTTGAACAAATGTGTTATTATTTGAACTCTAAACCACTGCAGAGTTTCGTAGTATCCAATATGCCCATAGAAGCTAAGGCATTGAAAAATATGTGATCAATTGATATATCTGTTACATTTATTTATTTATATATCTATTCATTTATACTGTTTACTTGTTCGCGGTTGTTACAGAAGTGTTGATGTATACAAACAGCTACAAAACAAAGACAAACAACTTCCAAACACGCTGCGTGACTAAAAAACTACGACTGCAGTGAAGGAACAGATAATTACAGAAGAGAAACAAATAAAACCTATACAACTGGCGAAAAATTTCCGACACTTCTCAACGCACCACACACTCAGCAACAAACAACTGCCGATGGCATGAGCGTGATACCCAAACGTTTATAAAATTCCATATGAACCGCCTGCCAAACCGAAAACGCAAGTGTAAAAACTAGTGTCTGACAGAATGGTCGCCACCACAATTAGATTAAATAAAATGATCGGCTAATTAGCCGATTATTTGGCTAATTAGAAAATATTTGGGAATTAAGTTGGCTAAAGCTAGCTAACTTAAAATACATATTTGGCAGGTGCATTTTTGAAGCACTTCTACATTGTCGTTATTGAGTCTCTGTTTCGGTATAGTGTTTCAATTTCATATTATTTTAGGGGGCGATGAGCACTTATAAGAAACGTTGTTTGCTTTTTCGAGTAGAATTTGGCTGGAAAGGCTGCTTCTGAAAAACCTAAATAAGCGGGCTTTTATATAGTGATTTGTATAGATATTAAACATGTTATTTTGAGCATCCAAAAAATTATAAACAATATTTTTTTCGTAAATCAAAAAGAAACATTTTTTTTGTATTTAAGCATATATAATATTCATATTTTTTTACGTAACCATACACTTTTCGTCAATGTAAAGATAGAATAAATAAAGCCTATCAAAAATTGCTTCGAGCGAAACTTTCTCCTGAAATTGTGGAGTAAGAAAGTAAAGTTGTAAGATCACAGTTGTTTACCCTTTTCCCCGTTTTTTTTTTCCTCAGGACTGTGCGTATTGTTCTGCCTTGTGATGCCGTCTTTTGCTCTTTTTTTCTTGGTCCCTGCTTAAATTTGTTTTCTTTTGCTTGAATAAGCTATTTCGATGATGAATGAGCATATTATACTGATGTTACTCATACTGAAATTGTCACCTACTGCGCCGAGCCATATACACAAGCCCTTGAGGTTTACACCGGCTCATCATTGTACTTTTTGAAAATGTGTGTATTTGAAATAAAACTATTATATTCAATTCTATGCAAGCAAAAAATATTTAAATTTAGGAAAAAAAAAAAAAACACAAGCCAGGTCTCTGTGTCTGGTATTCGGCCTCCCCGATCAGAAACTACCCCTGACAAGCAATTGGGTGAATAAAATAAGATTCGTGAATATTTTTCTTGCATTTAGTATACAAAAAAAAAACTAAAACTTCACCAAGAACAGCCTGGCGAATTGCGAAATTATCATGAGAAAACAACAGGGAGGAAAGAAAAAAAAAACCGTACTTAACTAGATGAAACTACATATGTCCAAAGCTCTGTTAGAATTCAATTAAACTAGGCCTCCGAATCCTGTCGCCTTGACGAGATAAAAGTACCCTTATTTAGAAATCACTTTCATTCAATCAACTTAGTGGTAGTACAGCTGTCTGTTCCATCACCCAGGTTGACTTGTGGTGCTAGTTTATGTAAAAGGTGCCTATAATTGTACGGCAGGAAAAGGTGTGCATTTCGGATTATATCAGTACGCTGCTTGGAAGCGAACGAATTAATATCGAAAGAAAAGTTGTATTTGTACAGAGGTAAGGCGGTTATTTGAGAAAAAGAATACCAACCTTCTTTATTTTCTGTTGCGATCTTACCTTACGGTACTATTCCTTACCCCGTTCACAAAGAAAAGACGAGATGAGCTATATTTGAGCGAAACATATTTACAGCATCTTTATAGCTTCGAAAGCTTAGGCAAAAACCGGCGAGTGAAATGAAGAAAAGCTGACTATTGCTTCTTATGAAGTACAGTGTGTAACTTAATTACGTGTTCTGTGTTTTATTTTTTGTATGCACAAACTCGTGTTCAGTCATCGGGCTCCCAGGTTCACAATTTGTTCCAGTTCATTATGATCATCGCTTTATGTCGGTGTTAGGTAGCACATAACTATTCAATATTTCTTCATTTTCTCGCATGCAACTTACCGTTTGCACAAATGTTTCCAAGTATAAAAGCCGATTGAAACCAGAATCACATTCTTCTTTATGAAATGACGAATCGACTACCATGGTTATTCCCATGTAGTGGCGAACCGCTGAAAATGAGGAAAGTAAAATATCGCAAAAATTAAAATGACCGGAAATTAGCTCTTATTCGTCAGTTTTTAAATAAATACTACAACAAAATTTAAGCGCTTATTTCTTGGTCTATATGTGTTCACGGGAGCAGTATCAGATTGGGTACAGCAATTTCTTATTCAAAACTGCAAGAAAAATAATTTTAAAACGAAGTGAGTGATTAGCGAATTGCACTTGGTAGATGTCGCTAAAGCCTCGTTTGTCATGCCCGTCTAGGAACTTTGACAGGTGGTGACGATGCCTGTCTTGCCTAAACTACGCATGCCTTGAACGTGACATCATCCCGTCAGCTCTCTTTTTATCACGGAGGAAGAAGGAAAGGGTGTTCGCTCCTTTCACCGGGGCTCTCTTTTTTGTGTGCCAGACTTGCCCAGCGTCGCTATCGTCCCTTTACAAGATTATAAAAGATAACCCGTTACCAAAAATTTGTACAAAAGCCGCCTTGCGGTCATTTGCCCGATCGCTGAAGTGTTTCGGTCGCTTCGGTGGCTGGAACGGCTAGGGTTTTCTGTCGAAGTTTGCCTCGCCACAGCTTTCCTCGTCCCGAGACAATCTACATCACGACTGTGCCGAATGTTACGTTCTGTCCACTGGCAGCTCGCGGGGCGCTTGCCATAGTGGGCCAGATAAACCAAAAAATTCAGCTATCAGGCTCAAAATAAAAACGTGCGATTGTCATCTACGGATACTGTGGATCACAATCAGCAAATTGCTGTACTCGACGGGTATGATTCATATTTCGTTGAAGTATCCATTTAAAGTAAATATAGAGTAAATAAGCGTTCTGGAAAATAACATTTCTATGCACAATATAGCTCAGACTTTCTTACAGATACTTAGTTCTGTCTTCCTGCCATATTCCGTTTTAGTAGGCTTTGTTAATGAGAAGTTATTTTTCTCTCACTACTTAAAGTGGTGCAAGTCAAACTCAAACGCACATGAAGTGCAGCTTCTAAATGCGTGAATGTGCTACGAGACATCCGAAAAGTAACTTCAAGGAATTGTGAAACAACGTTCCAGGTGTTTCAAAACAGTCACTCTAATTAACCCTCAATATTCATCGAACCCACAAGAGAAATTTATTTTTCTGTCGGTCGATTGACTTTTAAAATCAAACAAATATTAAATCCTAATTCGCGTTCCTTCTTAAATAAACAGGCATTTGATAAACCTCAAGGATTGTGTTTTAAAATGCCGATAGACGTAAAAGTTTTTTTTTAATTACTGAGGATTTGTAAAGTGAGCCGTCAATGTGGCTTTTTGTCTAGTTTTGTGGTTTTTAGGCATTGCTTTTCCTACAATAGTTTGCATTATTTATATGTTTTAGTACTTTGCCTCAACCTTTATAGTGTCTAGAGCATTTCCGGCAAGGAAATATAGTACATTTTGTTGAATAGAACTCCACAGACTCGCAGTAACATGTCCATATAACAAAAATAAAATACGAGTTGTCGAAAGCAAATTCTACTAATCAGTACTAAGCAGAAAGCACACTAACAAAATATTTGACGTTATGCTATATTCCGCAGGAAACTGCAGCTTAGTCGTGTTTTGTGAATATAGAACTAATTGAAAACCAGTATTATTTAAACACCCCGAGATTGCAGGTAACGATACACACACTCAAAAATCTCAAAACAAAACTGTCCTGTTCATTCAAGCTGACTCTCACCGGGGGTATAGCCGGCATGGTTTGTGAACAGTCGGCGTTCTATGACACCGGGGCATATCATTCTATTTATTGAATGCTTGAACTATAAACCTACGGAAAATGTCTGGGCTATAAGAAGGTCTTGCCGCTCGCAGTAGTGTCCAGAAAATGTCAAGAATTGTTTCACATGTAAATTTGTCTGTCTGTTACCAGCCACAATTTCAATATTTTTTGAAAAAAAATATTATTATTTGTTTATTCTTAGAATAAGGGGGATTGGTGTCCGCATGTGCTGGTGCACTGCAGCCCGGAGCACGTGCAGCGAAAGCTTGCGGTGCAGATCCTAGAAATCCTGGGCTCAATCCCCACCCCGACACTCTTTGACCTCTACGATCTCTACGAGCATCGTACCAGTGTGCGGTCAAGTTGCACTACTGTTTGATGAACGTTAAAACACTTCGCCTAGCAGTGGTACTGCACTGGCTAAATTTCTAATTTCTTTTAGTCATCTCTGAACTCTTAACCCCAGCAATACATTACGAATTGCGCTCTTCTAGAGAGGGTGCGCTACTGACCTTATTGTTTAAGAAACTTGATGTACTTCGTAATAGCTAGAGATTACACAGAAATAATTAAAGTATTATTCCGTTCTTCGGCAAAGGTCACAGCTTAACTCTTATCTGAAAAACATTTGGAACACATTGCGTCTCGACGCGGTCCTGTTACCGCAATTAAGAGGCTTGCGCTCTGAATTCGCTATCGCGGAAGGTAAGACATTTGCCGGAAGACCTGAACTTATTAAGCTACATTTGATTCACAGCCTAGATTGCGATTAACTGAGTGTGCACATGTTATCCATAAACAATTGTCCGCGACATACCACTTCGGTGAAAAGACAAAAATTACCATTTTTTCAAGTAACCCGAGTTATCTTGATGAAGAAATATATTTAACTACACCAAATATTTACTTAAAACTTGGAAAGGCATCCCGAACTTAGTGTTTTAAAGATCGATGCTGTCTGACACTGCCCTGAACATGAATTTCGAAAATTTGTTTTGAATTGTACTAAAGAACTCAAGGAACATGACTGCCAATGAGTTGAAGTCTTCTGGATTCTAACAGTTGCTAAGGCTAAACTCTGTGTTGCGAATATGCGGAAAATAACTGACGAAGTTCTTCCAATGGCATGGTGACTGGGGGAATTACAAAAACACTGTGCTGATGCCATTCGAAGAGTAAACGCCACCGGGTAAGATTCGTCACGTTTTTCGTTCCATGTAGTTTCGCCTTCATGATACGTTTTGACGACGAGCAACAGATTTCTTTATAGAATATACTCGAGAAATCCAATTGTTTATTGAAATAATTAGCGTATTTTACATTATTGCCTGCTAATCATAATTGAAAGCTCATAATCGGATGTCCGTTGATGTTGATTACGTTGTAGTGAAAGAATCATTATCTGACGTGCGCGAAACATTTTATACATAAAATCAAAGATAAATTTATCCCGGAAATGTTTTGCATCAATGGGTGAAAATCAAAACTCAGGAGATCAGATTGATTGTATTACGCTGTCATATTCTTTTTAAATTGGTTTTTGTCCGTCAGAATACAAACTGCATAATAATATTGGTACTAAGCATGAAAATTCTGATTTTATTCGGCAAAACAAGACTCTGGCAACGAAACGACTGATTATTATGCCGTTCTCGCTTTGGTTACACGTTTATTCTCTGCAACATCTGAATGGCTTGAATAGCTGCTCTATAGCTATAATAGTAAAAAAAGAAACCCGTAATTTACTGAGTTTAGTGCCTTTTTGCTTCATCTTGAGGAAATAAAAGTATACCACCAAAAAATCAAGATATTAACAAAGGCCTGTGCTATAACGATTTTTTATAACCTTCTCAGCTCTTCATCTAACAAGACGTGGGAACAAATGTTTCCTTTTTATTTAGGGGCAGTTGTCAACTGAAAACTGCTTTCTTTCACGCATGAAAAACGAAGGAAGAGAATCGATTGTTACAAAAATACTCATAGGCATTAAAATGTGTACTTCCATCTGCAAATTAAGTAATTTAGGCGATACCCTCCACTCTTACATTTACCATTTTTAGAAAATTTAACGTACACAATCGCTGGTAAATGGTAATGTGTTTTTTTAATAGATCTTTCGCAGACCGAAACAATAAGAAGCGCGAGTAGGTGCCAAACCATTGCAGGCAAAGTACGAAGGGGAGCCGAGGTGCAGTGAGGTTCTTCACGATTCACCCTACCCTGGAGGTTATGAAGTAGCGCTGCTTATGTCACCGAACAAGGAATCAATACGGTTTGACTTGGGAGACTATGAGCGGCTGCTGAGTGGAGGGGACAACGCGTTGGCAACAATCAAACACTTTACTAGGGAGAACAGAGGCCATTTCGTGTTCGTCCGTTTTTTTATCGTTCCCCATCTCCTGGTTTACGAGATGTAATTTCGCTCATTTGCATTAGACAAAGCGATGGCAGTGTCGGCGCTTTGTGGCTTGGCTTGAGTCTTAGGTGCCCGAGCCGCTCCGACCACCGACTTCTTTTTTCTCGCTTTCTTACAGCCTTGTCTTTCTTCGGATAAGGTGGGCGCCAGCATCCTTGACTTGAGATAGCCGGGGGATGCGGACGCAAGGAGTTACCACGGTGAAATGCCCCAACGCAGACGTAAAGGGAAAGCACACGACGTGAATGGAACCGGGTGATGGCTTAATAATTGTTTCTGGCTATCGGATGCTCTGGCGACTGTCACTTTACCAAATACTTGATTGTTTACTTGTCTGCTAAATGTGCTTTTGTCGTCACGAAATTTCCTTAGCATTACGTCTCCTAAATTGCACTAAAGCGTGTTTATGGCTCATCACATTCCTCAGCAGCTTCACAATATTTGACGTGTCCAGCAGCTTCAAATCTGCTTGATGAAATTTTGAAATACCTCCGAAGTATTTCACTCTTACACCTAATAACCGAGTTGTTTACCTGTAACCCGTGCTAAGACCAAATGTCGCGCCCAGTTCAAGGTTGGTTGTACATAAATTTAATTAGGCCAATGTTAGAATTTGTGGACTTGGTATGGGGCCCCTACACAGGAATAAACGTTGAGCAACTAAAGAGAAACCAGAAAAAAGCGTTGTATTTTGTTTATAACTGTTACAACAGGCTGGCGTTTTGTTCCTCCACTGCATAAACTGCAAAAACTTACCTCAATTTAAAACACGCAAAAAAATTATTTACCTTATGTTTCTTTCCAACAGAGCCAATGGCAATGTTAAT